CAAAAGTACACAGCTTCGGACATCTAGTAGGATTCGACTTCTAGCACATAGAACAAATTATCTTAATATTTCTCAGAGGAGCGGTCAAGATGACTGCTAATTGCAAATGAACATGAGTTATAGCCCTGATTCCTTAATATAAAAAAATAAAAAATAAAAACCACAAAAAACTTTTAAGGAGGGGATGGCAAGATAGCCTAAGAGGTAAAGGTGCTTGCCACCAGGCTTGAAAACCTGAGTTCAATCCCTGTGGCCCCACATGGTGGAAGGAACTAACTCCAGGAAGTTGTCCTTTGACCTCCATAGGCATACCACCCCCTCAGTAAATTTAATAAAAAGCTTCTTTCTAAAAAAATTAAGAGGAGCTATTTTGTATATATTTTATTACACACACACACTCGCACACATAGCCTCAAGGAATGGAACTCAGGAATGGTCTTAGGTGTTCTAACACTAGCTCTACCACTGAGCTACATCTGCAGCCTTTTTCTTTTTTCGAGACGGTCTCATGTGGCTGAGGCTGCCTGGAACTCCTGATCCTCCTGCCTCCTCTGGAGTGCTGGGATCACAGATGTGCACAAACCACAGCTCCTTCAGCGTTTTTTTCCCTTTTTTTGAGACATGGTCTCACTGTGTGGTAGCCATGGCTAGCCTGGAACTTGGTATGTTAGACGTGAAACTTGCCAGTACCTTCCTCCTTCTGCCCACCAAATGCTGAGCACCTCCATGCCCAGCATCCCATCTAAGCTGTTTCCTCTTGGAGGGCTGAGCCCCGCACCCCTCAGGCACTTGCCTGAGAATGAACACGGTACTTCCTCACAGGTTGTTATAACCAGGCTGGCCTGGCAAAGCTTCCCATCTGGTTTTATACCTCCAATCCGTATTCATACCCCACTCCATCCTAGAAATATGACACATCAGGTTTAAAGTCTCTTAAAGAGTTCCCCCTAACCTCATCAAGAAGGAGCATAATGGAAATGTAGGGTTTGACTTGCCAAATTCAGTTTCCCGAGCACACAGCTTCCTCTCCTAAGCCCGCTCCAGTCACGAGTATCCATGAGGCAATCAGGAGCGTGTGCACCGACAGAACCAGACTCCACAAATGCTTATTTTCCTTCATTAAAAAATTTAAGTTACAAATATTTTGATTCATAAATAATCAAGGGTGTGTGTGTGTGTGTGTGTGTGTGCCTAGTCCCTTAACTCTGAAATGAAATCTTCTGCTCTGGTGACATTTTCCAACCCTCTTCATACATGGTGTTTTGCTCCCAACCCCATGGTAGCTCGACCTTCCCCAGTTCCCTGAGTTCACATTTGTCCAACTCTCCATGCCCAACCCAGACCTGCTCCAGAAAGAACCAGCTCCATAGTCCTGGGAGGGCAAAAAGGGCTGGGGCCATGACTTCTGTTTGGGAGAGGAAGTTGGGCTGTTTCTCTAATGGAGTGATTTCCCTGTCAAAGTAAAGGCTAGTTGGAGGAAGAACTGTGTCCCAGGCATCGCAGCAGACCCTCCACAGAGCCGTGAAATCAGAGTCCAAGACTTTGTGGCCCTGGGGCACTGGACTCAGAGCGTCCCATAGACGCTGATTTTGACCATGGAGATGCTCTCTGTGTACTGGCTCAGGCCTTTCTCGTACAGCACGTACAGCTGTGGAGCCTGCTTTTCTCCAGCTGCATTGGTCTCCAGGGCTGCCAAGGATGAGTAGCCACTGGGTCCTGGCCACACCTGGACTGTTTCCTTCTGCCAAGAGGTGCCATTGCTGAAACTCCAGCGCAGGGTCAAGTTCACTCCTAAGAGAATGACTGTCAATGACTGTCCTCCAAGGCCCTGTCTAGACATAGCACCCCACTTGACCCACTCACCCCACCCTTAGACACTTACGGAACTCAGGATGCGCTGGATTGGAGAAGAAGATGATGCCCGAGCTGGTGGCTATGGCTCCTGCAGCTACCACAGGGTCTACGAGCTCAGGGTCAAAGGTCACATCCCGGGGCCTGAGTGTATCACAGGCGTCGTAGCTGCGGAGGACGATCCGGCAATGGCAGTGGTAGTTGTTTTGGTTCCGGGCATTGATGATGACAGAACCATCTGGAAGCTCATAGGGCTAAGGGGAGAAAACAGGCCTCAGGAGGGTCTGGGTTTGATGACACTTTGGGAAGTGGGGGGGATGTTCCCATGTACTCCTGACCTGGCATTCGTCAGGGTTGAAATCATGCTCCCGTTTGGGCTGGCCAAAGGGGATGCTGCTCACTCCTGTCCCGTAGTGCCAGGATGCGCCATGGTCATCACTGAGGAGACAGAAGACCCCATCTCGCTCCAGCGTCCCATGGCCACACACAATGAGCCGGCCCTTGTGTGGCTCCCGCTGTTTCTGTGAGGAGATGGGTGTGACAGGACCTCACTCTGGGGATTCGGAGGCAGACAGAGGGCTGGTACCTCCCAAGTGTGAAGAAATGTCTGGTTCTCTTTTATTCTGCCCTTTCTCGCTGAGGGTCATGGAAGTACCCCCCCAACAGATGCTGGCTGAATTAAGCAGCTTTTCTGTGCCAGGCTTGGTTGTATAGACCTGTGAGTCCAGCTACTCCAGAGGCTGAGACAGAAAGATGGGAAGTTCAAGGCTTGCCTAGTTACAGAGTGACCTCGACACCAGCCTAGGGAACTTAGTGAGACCCGGTCTCAAAAGAAAAAAATAAGAGGGCTGAGCTGGAGAGATGACTCAGTGGTTAAGAGCACTGCTCAGTGGTTGCTCTTGTAGGAGAACCGCGTTCCCACATGGTGGCTAACAACCATCCATAACTCCAGTTCCAGGGGATCTGATGCCCTCTTCTGACCTTTGGCATGTGGGCATTGCACCACACGTACACTTACATACATTCAGGTAATACACTCACACAGATAAAAAAGAGGGTTAGGGCTCAGTGTGGTGGTGCACACCTTTACTCCCAGCACTTGGGAGGCAAAGGCAGGTGGATCTCTGTGAGTTCAAGGCCAGCCTGGTCTACATAGTGAGTTCCAGGTCAGCTGGGGCTACAGGGAGATCCTGTCTCAAAAAAAAAAAAAAGAGGGTTAGGGGTATAGCTTGGCCCAACGGTAAAGTGCTTACCTAGCATGCCCAAAGCCCTAGCTAGGTTCAATCCAAGTACCTGCTCCCCTCTTAAATTCAGAGTATTTTTGTTTTTATGAGACAAGGTCTCATGTAGTACAGGTTGGCCTCCAACTCACTACGTAGCTAAGGCTGACCCTCATCTCCTGATCTTCCTGCCTCTGCCTCCCAAATGCTAGAATGACAGTCATGCGTGTTACCACTCATCCCATTCCTTCTTTTTCTTTTTTTAATAGGACTGGAGCTATGGACAGTTGTTAGCTGCCATGTGGGTACTGAGACTCGAATCCAGGTCCCCTGCAAAAGCAGCTAGTGCTCTTAACCGCTGAGCCATCTCTCTAGCTGCTTTTTCTATTTTGGAGACTGACTATGTAGGCTGGCTTTGAACTTACAGTGTAACACAGGCTGGGCCTTAAACTCATGATGGACCCCCTGCTTGATGATTAAAAATAAATTTTGGGGGATTGTGAAGATGGCTCAGTGGTTAAGAGCACTTCCTGCTCTTCCAGAGGACTTGAGTTCAGTTCCTAGCACCCTTATCAGGTGGCTCACAACTGCTTGTAACTCCAGCTTTAGGGGAATCAGATGCCTCTGGCCTCCGTGGGCAACCAAAGTCTCATGCACATGCCCCCATACAGACATACACATACATAATTTAACAAAAATAACAAAAATTAAAACTATCTTTAAAAAATAAAATTACTGTACAAAGTAATGAATTTAACTGTGACATTGTCACACATACACATTATTACACCTCGTTGGTATTCCTTCCCTTCCCTCTCCCCTAGTTGGTCATTTTTTAGAAGTTCCTACAGGCATCCAGGGTGCACCACTAGACATGGGGCCCAAACTTGGGAGCTTAAAGCCAACCTGAACTCATGCTCCCTGCCTGGTACTGTGGTGGAGGCATGTATCTGCCCAACGGCCACCCAGTTCCACTCTGCACCAGGGCAGCCTCTGTGTGAAAAACCAGTAGGGTATTCCAGAACGTTGCTTCCTTCCAAAGAATCCCATACAAGTCAAAAATCTGACTTCACAGGACCTTGACCTTGGGAGGTGTCTTTTGGGGAGGGGTCATTACCCAGACTCCTCTTCACCCATCCCCGGGACACAAACCTGAATGCCAGAGCCTGGTCCAGGAGCAAACATCTCCGTGCCAATATCCAGGGAAAGATTCCGGGGTGGGCTCCAGGAAATACCATCGTCCTTACTCCATACCAGCATGGTGGAGGCCACCTGGCAGTTGACCTTGTGAGCGCAGAGGGTGTAGATAAGGAACACCACTCCCGTCTCCATGTCACTCACCACAGCACCCAGGTTCAGCCCGTCTGAGGCCTCCCCATCATCAACAATGAAGGCTGTAGACGACCACGTGCTACCTGGAAAAAAAATAACAGCAGTGACTTGTACCACTTGTCTACGTCCTGCCTCTCCCTAGGGACCTTAATGTGGGTGCTGAAAATCGAACCCAGGTCCTCTGCAAGAGCAGTCAGTGCTCTTAACGGCTGGGAGGTCTCGCCAGCCCCAATTCTCATTTCTAAAACTCCTAGGTGACCCCAATTCCCTGGACACCTTCCTTCCTCAGATTTCCCTTTACCCCTTAGGCACTCAGGCCTCAAAGTACTATCTGTGTCTGGATTGCTGAGGGAACCCTCCCTCACTCCCCCATCTCCAGCCACACCATACAACCCAGCACCCACTCTTTCCCCTTGGGCATCTTTATACCCTGGTCCGTGGACCTCCGCAGGGCGATAAACTTGGCCCCCTCATCAGATGCAGACATCTTCCTGGCCTCAGCGAAGGCGAGCAGCGTGCCCCGAGGTGTGGTTGCGATGAGCGGGATGCGGAAGGTGTCCACCGAGCCGATCTGCTTCCCGCTCACCCACAGCAGCTGCTCCATGGTCACCAACGGCTGCACCTGCGAGGGAGGAGGAAGCGTCAACGCAGCTAAGCTTAATCGAATTGGTAGCTAGGGGCTCCAGCTAGGGTTCCGAAGGGGTCCGGGGCCCGGGGGAGGAGGGGAAAGGGGTTCGGGGCAGCTGGAGGGGCAAGAGTGCCTCCCAGGGCAGCTGAGGCTGAGGCCGTGCAGCCGGGCTCACCAGACTGAAGTCATCCTCAGCCCCAGCCGCGGTTCCTGCCAGGAGCACGAGCAGGTGGGCGATCGCCGCCAGCACCTGCCCTCGGCAGCACCGGGGTCGGCTCCGGACCTCCGGGCTCGGCTGCTCGCCCAACATCGCTCCCCGGGACCCCTGTGCACGACCCGGTCACTGGCTGGCTGTCAGCTGACCCGGGCCCTTTAAATGCCCTGACGTCACCTGAGCCCGCCCCGCTCCAGGACGGCCGCTCGGGCTGTCGTGGCTCTAATTGGTCCTCGGGGTTGCCCTACCTCCGTCTGCGTCGCTCGGAGCTTGCCCTTCCCATTGGTCCTCGCGGAAGCCCCGGAGCACGTGACTGTGGCCTAGTACGGCAGTTGCATTCTGAATGAGACTTTTGATTGGCTATGAAGTCAAAGGGGCGGGGCCTGGTCTAAAGCCCCTAGTGGGGTGGGGGGAGGAGAAAGGCGCCATGTGGGACTGGGGATGTGGCTCCCCTGGTGCAGCGCTTGCTGTGCATACTTGAAGTCCTGGGTTCCATATACAGCGCCATATGACCATAGGTAATGATGCACACCTGTAATTCAGGCATTCGGGGGTGGGTGAAGGTCAGGGTCATCCTGGATGCTTAATGCGTTTTAAGACCAGACTGGGCTATGAGACCCAGTCACCACCCCTCTCGTCCCCACCCCTAAAATCACAGATGTGGGTGCACGAGCTCACACCAGCTGCTCACAGACTCGGGGCGGCCTTTACCCTAGCCTTGGCTCCTGCAGATCTCCACCCCCCCACCCCACCCCCCAGTCAGGGCCTTGTTATTCCAGGGTTGGGTCGGGGAGTGGTCACAGGAGACAGATGTTTGATTCTGGATGGAACTTCAAGCCAGACATAGGATGGAAGGTATATAGCTCAGCGGTACAGTGTTTGTCTAGCATGCTCGAAAACCTGGGTTCGGTCCCAAAAAGAAAAACACCTAGATGCAGATGCATGGGAATTTCGTGAAGGGTTGCCTCTGATCTGAGTCTAGAATCCAGATCATTGGTGCTGCTTTGAGGGTGAGCTGTTAAATGATTTTTTTTCTTTCTTTCTTTTTTTTGACACAGGGTCTCACTACATAACTCTGGCTGGCCTGGAACTTGCTATGAAGACCAGGCTGACCTAGACCTCACAGAGATCTGCCTTCCTCTGCCTCCCAAGGGCTAGGACTAAGGGTGTGTGCCACCATGTGCGGCTGGGTAAATGATTTTGCTGGTACTATTCTATCTTAAAAGTTGTAAGGGACAAAGCGGGACCTCATCAGGAATCTAGTCCAATGTTATCCAGGAACTTAAAAAAGTTTTTTTGTTTTTTTTGAGACAGGGTCACCCTGTAGCCCCAGCTGTCCTGGAACTCACTATGTAGACCAGGCTGGCCTTGAACTCACAGAGATCTGCCTGCCTCAGCCTCCTGAGAGCTGGGATTAAAGGCTTGCACCACCATGCCCAGCTAGGAACTTTTAAATGTACTGGAAATCTCTACTTTAGAGGAACTGGGTCTTGACAAAATGTAACACCCTCCCCAGCTGGGCTTTCCAAGAACTTACTGGTTTTGCTACTCCATTACGAAGAGTCACCTGGACTGACTCTCAGGGCCCCACCCCTAGCAGCTGAGGCTGCTGGGGGAAGGGAGTCTTTTTTCTTTAGCAGTGTGGCCACTGGTAGGTTCCCCAAAGCAGTGGATGACTCAATGCCTGTGCACTGATAGATATCACTAACTGGACTTGGTAAGTTAAAATAAATACATAAATAAATAAATAATTAAAAAAAAAAGAGTTTCCTTGGGGTTGGCAAGATGCTTCAGCCAGTTAAGGCATCAGATGAGCACCTGACGATCTGAGCTCCCTGCTGGGACCCACATGCTATAGGGTGAGAACCAGTTCTTAACAGGTTGTTCTCTGACCACTCTATCACTGAGGCAGTGAGGGTGCACACACACACATAATAAATAAAATGTAATACTTTAAAAAACAATCAATCATGCTGGGCATGGGAGGCAGAGGCAGACAGATCTCTGTGAGTTTGAGGGCAGCCTGGTCTACATAGGTCTAGGAGAGCCAGGGCTATATAGTGAGACCCTGTCTCAATAAATAAATATCAAATAATCACTCCTGGACATTTTGATAACACATTACCTTATTTGAACACACACACACAAAATGGTTTTTTTGTGACAGGGTCTCATCCATCCTAGGCTGGCCTTGAACTCACTGTGGAGCCAAGGATAACCTGGAACTCTTGAACCTCCTGCCTCCACCTCTGAAGTGCTGGTCTCCCAGGCATCTGTCACCACACAAGGTTTGTGTCTTGCTGGAGACCAAACCCAGAGCCTCCTGTATGCTAGGCAAGCACTCTACAACTGAACTACATCCTAAGTCCCGTAGCCCTAGCCCTTGAACAAACTATCTCTCATTGGGTATCAAACCATGTAATAGTAATTTGACCTTTACTTAAAAGGGGATGAGTGTGAACTGAAAATAAAACATACTTATTGAGAAAACAAAATATTAATCTTTAATAAAATCTGTTTACTACAAAATCAGGTTGTGTAAGGCAAGTGTGGCTTGGCGTCTGCACAGGTGGCTGCAGTCCTGGGTCAGGGCCTTGCCTCTCACTTCTTCCTCTTCTTGTCAGGTGCCTGGTTCTTCTTACCCAGAATCTTCAGAAGAGACTTGGGCATATAGTAGGGCCGGTTCACAGAACCATCATTGCGCTCCAGGTCTTCCACTGATCAGCAAAGTAGATTGATTAGAGCAGGCTCCCTTTGCATACCAGAAATAGTCTGAGACCCAGAGACCAACTGGTTTCCTAGCCAGGGTGTTTCAGACTGGTCTGTAACCAGCTAGACAGGTTACCTAGCCTGTTTCCTCACATAAAGTGGGATCAATAATATATATATATATATACTATGTGGGTACTGGGTCCTCTGGAAGAGCAGTCAGTGTTCTTAACCACTGAGCCCCCTCTCCAGCCCCCAGTAATTCATAGGGTATCAGTAGGATAAAGAAAGATTGAATGTAAGATGGCTTGGTAACTTCGGTCTGTAATCCCAATATTTAGGAAGTAGAGGCGAGAGGACAAAGTACAGGGCCAGCCTGGGCTACACAACAGGACCCTGACTCGAACAAAATCCATCTGGGAGTGGTAGTACATACCCACACCAAGCATGATTCTGGCCCTTGGAAGGTGGAGGCAGCCTGATCTACATAGTGAGTTCTAGGCCAACCAGGGCTACATAGTGAGACCCTGTCTCAAAAAAAATTAGTAATAATTAGGGACTGGAGAGAGAGTTCAGTGGTTTAGCGCACTGGCTGCTCTTGCAGAGGAGACAGGATTGGTTCCAGCACCCACACGGAGGCTGACAACCATCAGTAACTACAGTTCCAGGCAATCAGACGCCCTCTTCTGTCCTCTGTGGGCACTGCATGCATGTGATCACTTACATACATCCATAAAAATAAAGTAAAATAAAAATTTTAGGTTGTTTGAAACAGGGTTACCCTGTGGTCTCAACTGGCCTGGAACTTCCTGTGTAGACCAGGCTGGCCTCAGTCTCACAGAGATGTGCCTGCCTCTGCCTCCTGAGTGCTGGGATTAAAGGAATGCACTACCACACCTGACTAAAAAAAAAAAAAAAATAATTAAAAAGATTTAAAATGATAAATTAAAAAAAAATTAAAAACAAAAACAAAACATAAAGGATCAACAAAACATGCATGTCAATTGCTTAGCTTGAGGCTGGGGGTGTTGCACCACAATTCCAGCACTGGGTGTTGCACCACAATTCCAGCACTTGGGTGGCTGAAGCAGGAGGAGCGTGTGAGTTTGAGCCAACCTGGGCTACACAGTTCCAACCTGGGCTACATAGTTCCTTTGGTACATAGTGTGATCCTGTTTTATTTCCTCTGCACCCTGCCCACCCCCCTAAAGAACCCTGAATACAAGAAGGAAGGAAACTCTCTCACTGCAGTCTCCTGCTGGGAAGAACCTCTGTGGAGATCCTCTAGCCAGGCCTCTGAGAGGCCAGGGTTCCTTCCTTTCTTCCCCAAACCCCTGGCCTTAGAATGTCAGAAGACCCATGTTCTGGCTCCTCTAGCTCACAAGGCTACAAGCCCCCAGTCTCAAAAAAACCACGCATGAATAGTCAAATACTTGAGGTTGGGTGGGGTGGGGGGGAGAGTGTGGTGGGGGGATACTCACAGAAACAGAGAAAGAGCGTGTCCACGCACATGCCAAAAACGCTGAAGAAGCCGCTGGCGATGACGTAAGCCCCCACGATGGAGGTCTGTAAGACACAAGGCTGATTGGAGCCCCTGGGCTCCTCTGGGAACTTGGGCGAGACAGAGGGAAGTGTCACTCACCATGATGGGCAGCCAGTAATAGTTGAGTTGGGGGTTCTCAAAGTCTTTCCCCAGCCCCTTGATGCGACCAGAGAAAAAGAAGAAGGACAGGACTCCTGTGGGAGAGCTCTGCAGGTCAGTACTGTCCCTCTGTGGGCTCCCCTCCAGCTGTCCAGCACCCCGTACCATGTCTGCCTCTGTAAGCCCTGGTACTGGCCCTTACCGACACCTCCGACCACCAGCAGCTTCCCAAAGAACAGCAGCAGGTCTGTGACTTTGTCCAGGACAACAACCCTGCAGTGGAAGTCAGGGTGGGCCAGGGGTGAGGGGCCTGGCGAGGCTGAGAAGAAGTGAATTCTAGTCCCCTTTCAAGATCATTTGACAACATGCAGGGCCCTTCCGAGTAGACTGTGCCCATGAAGCCAGCTTTGGGTGGGAGATCGGGGGAGGGAGACACTCTTGGGGCCCAGCAGCCTGACCTGACAATGTTTCTCATGAGCAGCATGAAGGCATTTTTAGCTGAGACACAGAAGTTTTTCCCGTAGATAGCAATCTGAAGGGGGTGAGAAAGGTCACAGTCACATCCTTGGTGAGCTTGCCTGGATCTCAGTGCAGCCTGAGCCAAGGGGGCACAGAGCAAGGGACTCCTGGCTGCCTGTGCTCACCATGATGTAGGCGTTGCGGTTGAGGAACTTGATGAACTTCTCCAGACACCAGAGGCAGCACTTGAAGCAGCAGATAATACAACGGGCCACAGGGTTCTGGGCTCCTGTGGGCAAGGAAAGTCCATGACTGGTCACTTGCCTCTGCAGGCCCATCCTCGATGGCCCAGCTGCTCAGCCTGACTTTCCCAGAGCCTACCACTCAGCTCACCTCTCAGCTTGTGGTCAATGTACTCCAGGATGATCCGGGCTATCTGTACAAGGGTCAGGATGAGGGCTCCAAATGCCAGTGACCCAGTGTGGTAACTGTAGAGAGGAAGTTCAGGGGGCAGGAGAGTTAGGTAAGTTGAGGCAGCCTAGCACCTCATTTGGCAGAGTGCTGCCCCTGGCTTACCGGAGTGTGCGGATGAAGGCTGAACACAAGGGGAAGGTAGGGATGTCCTGAGGCTTGTGAAAGGCCCAGTAGAAGGAGGCAAAGGCCCCAGCCAGGACACACTGGCCCAGGGCCAGCACCCAGTTAACTGTCCAGAAGAGCCCCAGGACCCCGTAGATTTGCAGGTTGAAGAGTGACCGTTGTGCTAGGCCTGTGGAGGAATAGCCCTGGAAGGCACACGTCAGCCCTGGGCACGAGGAGTTCTTGGGTGGGGCCTGGAGGTGACAGGGAGGATAGTAGGTTCAGGCCCAGCTTCGGCAACATCAGGGCAGAACCCTGCCTCCATCCCTAGCAGCTGGGGAGGAATCCCATCTCAGACAGCCTCATCTCCCCTATTGTGACTATAAAGAGCATCCAGGTCTAGACGGGTGCCAGAGCTCCCCGGCCACCCGAGGCAAGCCCAGCATGGGGCAGCTCCACCTACTCCTCACTTTCTCAGCAGCCAGCTCACATGGAGGCTTCTGCAGCTCCAGGCAGGGTGCTGTATTTGATGACACATTAAGGAATTTTGTAGGCTGTGATGACTTAGTGGTTATATATGCTCTGTGTGTGTGTGGCCAGAGGCTGACCACGGATCCTCACACAAACTACACAGCTGCCCTTGCACAGGCTGAGCTGCATGCCTGGCCCTCATTAGATTTCCTGTTTTGGTGTTTCTGAGATAGAACCCAGGGCTTGGGGAACGAAATGGAATGCGAGACAACTTTTTACTACTGAGCTAATCCTCGGGCTCTGCATTTTAAGTCATCTGTTGAAGGGCTGGGAAAGTAGTTCAGCTGGTAGAGCACTTGCCTCACATGCACAAAGCCCTGGGTTTAATATGCAGCACCACATAAACCACAACCATATGGTTGTGCACACCTGTAATCTCAGCATGAGGGAAGTAGAGACAGGAGGATTAGAAGTCCAAAGTCATCCTCTACTACACACCCAGTTCAAGGCCAGTCTGGATTACATGAGACCCTGTCTGCAGGTAGGTAGGTAGGTAGGTAGGTAGGTAGGTAGGTAGGTAGATAGATAGGTAGGTAGATAGATAGATAGATAAATAAATAAATGTCACCCTCAAGATCCATTTTAGCAGACTTACACATAAAACAGCATGATATACAGATTTTGTATTAAAAACTATCTGAGCGGTGTGATAGTACACCCCTTTAATCCCATCACTTAGGAAGCTGGGGCAGGAGGATCACCATGAATTTGAAACTAACCTGGATTACAGATTAAGTTCCAGGCTAGCCTAGACTACAGAGTGAGACCATCTCATAAAACTGGGGGGTAGGGGAGTTAAAAACTACCTAAAAGCTGGGGTGTGGCTCAGTGGTAGAGCTCTTATCTAGGCCACACAAAAACTCTGGGACAAAAATTATGGGTGAAGGTAGGAAGATAGTAAGAGCCCCAAGAATGACTGGGATGTAGCTGTGTGTTCTTCCTCTTCATACTGTGTAGTCCTTGCTTTGCATGTCTGAGGCCCTGGGTTCAAACCTAGTACTGCAAAAAGAGGAGGAGGAAGAGGAGAGGAGAAAGAAGAGGAGGAGGAGGAGGAGGTGGAGGTGGAGGAGGAGGAGGACTAGAGCCTTCCTCTTGACAGGAAGCTGCGGGCTGTGGAATCTGGGTTTGAGGACTCACCACTGTAGTTCCTTCTGCGTAATTTGGAAAACATTCATCATGACATATAAAAATGAACAAATAAAAAGTGAACCAATCCAGCAAATAAGATTTTAAAAATCTTCCTGGTTTCCAAGAGTTAGTGCATATTTGAAATTTTAAAATAAGAAAAGGAATAAGTAGTCTGTAGTCTAGGGGTCACTGTGGGTTTGTGTCAGCCTTCACTGCTGGAGAGTGAGCAGGCTGCAAAGAAACACCAGGTCAGCCTGGGCTTTTCTTACCAGGACTCTGCACAAGGTGGGCCTTTTACAAATCTTAACAAGTCTCTTCCTTTTCTGGGGGATGTGCTTTTAAGGCAGGGCCTTGCTGTGTAACCCAGCTTGGCTCCAAACTGGAGATCCTCCTCCCTTAGTTGGGATTGGTGGTGTGCTCCTCTGCACACAGCTTTTTGTCATGTTTGGTTTTGGTTTTTAGAGATAGTGTCTCATGTAGCTCAGGCTGGCCTCAAACTTGCTATGTAGCCAAGGCTGGGGTTGAACTGACCCTCTGCTTCCATCTCCCAAGTGCTGGGTTTACAGGTGTGTGTGCCACCACGACCAGCTTATTTATCTATCTATTCAGATTCAACGGGTAAAGCCTGTAGGCACAGCCCATGGTCCCAACTCAGATGAAAGAATAACATGACTTTGAGGAGAGAAAATTCTGAACAGTCTAGTGCCATGCCTCAGGACGTCATGGAGTAGGGAAGCACCTCCCTGGCCCCCAGGTCCCTCCAGGAGTCCCTCTTGTAGACTTCTAGGCCACTATCTGGGGCTATGTTCCCAGGAAGGTACATTTGAAGAGGGAAGTAAAACAATTCAACCAGTTGGACTCTCGTATCAGTGGGCAGACACTGTACACAGCACTAGATATACCCAATGCCATTAAACGTCCTCAGCCACCCACAGGGATCAGGATTAGGATCGGCTCCAATTTATAGAGCAGTGGGTGGAGACTGTATGAGGAGGAAGTATTTAATGGTCCTGGAGGCAGAGGAGAGTCCTGCTTGCTGTCTGGCCTTCCCATTTTCAGGTCAGGCTTCTGGCACCCACCTCACTATTCACAAAATAGATGGGGCTCAGCTGCGGAACTGTGGGAGGTTGCAGGTCATGTGACCTTGAGAGTCCCGTGCCTGCTCAGTCACTTATGTACTGTGAGGAACTTGGCCCCTCAAATTTCCCTCAGCACCCATCCCACCTCTTCTCACCATGGGGTCACATGATGAATTCAGGGACACGCTCTCACAGCCTGGTGCGCTGGCATTGGATGCCCAGTAGACATACTGGGGTTGCCCGGATGTGGCCAGGTACCCAGAGGAGAGTCAAGGAAAGCAGGGTTCCAGGTGTCCACCACAGGACACCCCTTAGGGTGGTCATGTCACAAAGTGGGAAGAGGTGGATTCAAACTGTTCACTCCGGAATCTCAGTCCCCTCAGGTCCCCATACGGGGGGGTTGTGTCTGCTCAGGTAAAGAGGGTTCACTTCCAAAATGCGCCAAAGTCATATACAGGTAAATATCGATTCATCTGTCCCCTGTACCACCTCTGAGCTCAGGGACGGGCTGAATAAAGGATACAGAGCAGTCATGGCCCAGTAAGCAATGCAAATCACCAGGAGAACAAAGGTGACCAGAGGGTAGAACAAGGTTGACATCATCTGCCCCACAGCCCTGCAGAGAGACAAGAAAAGTCCATGAGGGCCCCAGCCCTCTGCATCCTCTTCCGGGGTGGACCCTGGCTAGGCCCCTCCTCTGCCTGTTTGTTTCTCCAGGTCAGGGTACACAGCAGACTCTTACTGGGTGAACTAAGGGATCCTCACAGGAGACAGCTGGGCAGTTCAGGGGGCATCATAAGGGAACAGAGCCTTCAGAGGGCAGTGCTCTAGGCAGACTTGGCAGTTGCTGATAGGAAGTGGACAGACTGCTGCTCCCTCCTGCCTCAACTCCTGCCGCTCCACCCAACAACTGCAGGACTCCGACCCCCACTACCAGAGTGCCACTTCTAAGTTTCAGGCACTTGGCTGACACACTAATCAGTTCAATCCTCACCACACAAGGTTGGGACCCCTATCACAGCCATTTCACAGATAGGGAAGCTGGGTGTGGTGGTGCATGCCTGTAACCCCGGCACTCCAAGGCAGCAAGTTACGCTACTCTGGGATCCATGGCAAGACAAAGCAGTGTTGGAGGGAGAGGACAGGTGGACTGTGGATATAGCTCAGTTAGTACAGTGTTTGCCTGACATACATGAGGCCTGAGTTTGACCCCCAGAACTGCATAAACCAGCTTGGTAGTGCATGCCTGTAATCCAGAGGTGGAGGCACCTTGGTTCAAGGTCATCCTTGACTACGTAAGTGAATTTGAGGCTAGCCTGTGCTGCCAGAGACCCTGTATCAAAATAATAATAATAATAATAATAGGACTAGAGAGATGGCTCAGTGGTTAAGAGCACCGGCTGCTCTTGCAGAGGACTGGGGTTCAGTTCCCAGCACCCACATGGTGACTCACAACCTTCTGTAACTCCAGTTATAGGAGATCTGGTGCCCTCTTCTGACTTCTTTGGGCACTGCATGCACATGATGTATGTACATACATGTAGGCAAAAACACTCAGACACATAAGATAAAAATAAATAAATTGCTGGTCGTGGTGATGCACACCTTTAACCCCAGCACTAGGGAGGCAGAGGCAGGCGGATCTTTGTGAGATCGAAACCAGTCTGGTCTACATAGTGAGTTCCAGGCCAGCTGGGGCTACAGGGAGACCTTGTCTCAAAAAGACCAAAAAAAAAAGGGGGGGGGGAATGGCTTAGTGGTTAAGAGCACTGACTGCTCTTGCAGAGGACCTGGGTTCTATTCCCAGCACTCACATGGCAGCTACAAACTGTCCTTAACTCCAGTTTAAGGGGAATATGATGCCCTCTGACCTCCGAGGCATTGCATGACAGGGCGCACTCACATACATGCAGGCAATACACTCATATACATAAAATAAAAAAATAAAATATTTTTTTGAAAAGATTTAAAAAAAAAAAGCTGAGCATGGTGGTGCACTCCTTTAATCCCAGCACCCAGGAGACAAAGGCTGATGGATCTCTGTGAGACCAAGGCCAGCCTACTCTACATAGTGAGTTCAAGGCCAGCCAGGGCTACATATACTGAGACTGTGCCTCAAAACAAAACAACACACACATGCACACATGCACACACGCCCCAACTGACAACAAAGCAAATCTGATAGGGAAACTGAGCCTCCGAGAGGCTGAAACCCATCAGCCATTAGCGTTAACCACTGAGCATTCTGCCCTTCTCCTAGAGGGTTCTTGCCACCCGCATCCTGGCCCGCACCCCTGCCCAGAGCGCCACACCCTCACAGACAGGTCCCGACCTGCTGGCTTCCTTCAGCAGAGCGATGGCGATGCGGATCCTCTGCCGCAGAAAGATGAGCAGGAGCAACAAGATGCCCTCCACCACGGCCAGCACGATCACTGCGGGGGACAGCGGGCACAGGGTCACCCCACCCCGTGCCACCCGCGGCGGGGCGGCGGGAGGGCGGGCAGGGCACTCACAGGCAGCCAGCCAGGTCTCTTGCACACTCTGGTAGGCGCTGAGGTTGGTGGTGAAGCCCAGGTCGGAGATGGAGGCGCCCTTGTCCCGCAGCGCTCGGTACTGCTGCCAGCAGTGGTAAATGCCGTAGGCTAGCACCGCCAGCACGCCCACAATCAGCAGCAGCACCAGGGGTCCGGCCACCAGGCGCAGGAGCAGGAGGAACAGCAGACTCAACCCCAGAGCCACAGCCAGGGCACTGCCACACAGAGGAGGGTCACTCTCGGCTGCCTACAGTTTCCCTTTGGAGCCCCCAAATACCTTATCTCACACCCTGTGTCCATAGAGTAGATTCCCTTTCTGTTACAAATCCTCACTAGCTGGGGGTCCATTCTGAGCGCTGGCTTGCCCTCTGCCCATAGCTTCAGATTCGAGACTTAGAGAAAGGGGGTCTGGGAGGGGAAGGAGGGAAGGACTGAATCCTGGGGAACCTGGAGACTCACATGAGGATCCAATACCAGGAATGGGCAAAATCCTCAAAGATCTTCACAGAGATGTCCCGGGCATTGATGCTGTCAAGGAGGCCACTGTTGGGGAGGGACTGAGTCAGACAGAGCTGAGGAAGGGAGGTGGGACAAACGTGGGGGAGGGCAACATCTACCTGATCCCCTGAGAGACAGTGCTGCTATTGATCCATGGGTAGTTGGGCAAAGTGAAGTTAACGTTGGTTAATGGAAAACAACGCCCCAGAGCTGGAAGAGAAAACAGGGCAGATGGGTGGGCTCTGACTCTCCCCGTCCAGCGCACACTCAGGGGAGGGAGGAGTGATGGATAGGCTCTGCCTCTTTGGGGTTGAACCCCATCCTCCCTCTGCTGCTGGATCACACCCCTCCATGCCACCTCCATGGTCTGGACTCTTGTAATACCTCCAGCCCTGACCTGACTGCACTCTGACACAAGGACAGCATGACCCCTCATTCCACAGCTCTTGGTCCCTCAGTCCCTCGGGTCCCTCAGCTGTGTGGTGTCACCTCTACAGGCTCTGGTCATGCCCCTGGGCCAGGCTCCCAGGCCCTGCATTCCGAGCGCAGCCAACTGGCCCCTTATCTCCCTCTAAGCCTCTGCTCTTGCTCAGATGTTCTGAGAACCCTCATCCTTCCAGAAATTTCCCCCATCACTCCCTGCTCAGTTCCTGCCCCATCCCTATCCCTGTATCTCAGATTCCCAGCTCATTATGTGTCTTTGGAGACATATATAGCCAAAAAGGTTTTTTTGTTTTTGTTTTTGTCTTTTTGAAGCAGGGTGTCCCTGTAGCCCCAGCTGTCCTGGAACTCACTATGTAGACCAGGCTGGCCTTGAACTCACAGAGATCCGCCTGCCTCTGCCTCCCGAGTGCTGGGACTATAAGTGTGCGCCACCACGCTTGGCTATTCTATTTTTTTAATCATTTACATTGCAAAGATGAAGAGACAAGGTGAAAAGTTGAGTAACTGCCTGAGACCAGTTCCCTAGAAAGTGCTGGAGTTTAAATCCAGATTGACCTGACATTCATTTGATAACTTTTCCTATTGCACTTAACATTGAAAACTTTTCTTTATGATGATATAATTAAAAAAGAGAGAGACAGCCTAGAGTGGTGGTGTATGCCTTTAATCCCAGCACTTGGGAGGAAGAGGCAGGTAGATTTCTGTGCGATCAAGGGCAACTTGGTCTACATGGTGAGTTCCAGGCCAGCTGGGGTTACAGGGAAACCCTGTCAAAAACAAACCAACAGGCGCATGCCTTTAATCCCAGCACTTGGGAGGCATGAGGCAGGCAGATCTCTGAGAGTTCAAGGCCAGCCTGGTCTACATAGTGAGCTGGGGCTACAGGGAGACCCTGTCTCAAAAGGACAAAAAAAAAAAAAAAAAAAAGAGAGAGAGAGAGAGAGAGAGAAGCAGAGAGCAGTGAGATGGCTCAGTGGGTTAGGCGCTTCCAAGAAACCCGATGGCCTGAGTTCAATCTCTGGGACACATGTGGTGGAAGGAGAGAGCTGACTCCTACACATCACCCTCTGACCTTCAACTGTACACTGTGGCGCGCGCACACACACACACACACACACACACACACACACAATAAATAAATAAAGATGCTACAGAATAAGATCCTGTCTGAAAATAAAAGGAAGCAGGCTGGAGAGACGGTTCAGTGGCTAAGAGCACTAACTGCTCTTGCAGAGGACCTGGGTTTGGTTCCCAGCACCCACACTGGGTAGCTTCCAACCACCTGTAACTCCAGTTCCAGGAGATCCAGTGTCTTCTGGCCTCCACGGACACATGCACACACATGGTGTACACAATCACACACATATACATAAAAAAATTTCTTTTTTTTTTTTTTTTTTTTCTGTTTTTGGTCTTTTGAGGCAAGATCTCACTAGGTAGCCTTGGCTGGCCTGGCACTCACTATGTAGACCAGGCTGGCCTCAAACTCACAGATTCTCCTACCTCTGCCTCCTGAGTGCTGGGACTAAAGGTATGCGTCACCACACCCAGCTTAAATAAAAATCTTAAAGGAAACTACATTTGCTGTTAGGAAGAAGTATAAACAAATCCCATGACCTAGCCACATTCTTATTTTTTCGTGTGTGTGTGTGTGTGTGTGTGTGTGTGTGTACACACATGCTTGCATGCCTATGGAGTCAGAGTCCATCTTTCGTGAGTCAGTTTTCCCCTTCTACCATATGGGTCCTGGGAATTGAACTCGGGTTATCTAGCTTGATGGCTAGTGCTTGTTCGTATGTGCAGAGCTATCTCACACGCCCCAGTTTGTTGTGGTTGCTTTGAGATAGGGTCTCACTGTGTAGCCCAAGCTGGCCTTCAGCTCCTATTCCACCTCAGCCTTCCCACCAGCTAGAACTACAGGTGTGGACCATTCCAGGCCCAGCACTCATGCAATCTCTTGTGAACGCCTCTGATCTCAGCTGGATGTGGTGACACACGCCTTTAGTTCCAGCACCTGGAGGCAGAGGCAGCCTGATCTCTCTGAGATGGAGGCCAGCTTGTGCTACATAGTGGGTTCCAGGTCAGCTGGGGCTACAGGGAGACCCTGACTCAAAAACCAACCAAATGAAACACTATTTCTGATCTCTCCACCTAGAATGTAGCTGAAGCAAGGAGCAGTTTCTACTGTCCCTGTGTCTGTCCGCATGCCTGGCACGTAGCTGCCCAGCAGGCACTGGTAGTCTGACTATAAGGTCCTGAGGCAGAGGGATGAAGTCCTGCCACTCATCCCCAAGTTCCCAGTGAAAAGCTGAGTGGTTTTCTATTTCTGGACCTACTTGCTTTATTTGAGAAATAAAAATATTGAATAAGATGATGCCTGAGGGGTAAAGTATGTGATTCTCACCTGGAGTGGAGGGGAGGAGGAAACTGGGACAGAGCTCCTGTTGCAGGCTTTCCTGCACTATCTGGGGATAGAAAAGGGAGCATAGATACACACAGACATAGATAAGATGAAGAGTCGTGGGTCCCACCATCATCACCATCACCTCCACATCCTCCTCCTCCACCATCACCTTCACCACCACCTCCTCCTCCTCCTCCTCCTCCACCTCTCCATCACCTCCACCTCCACCACCATCACACCCTCTGCCTCCATCTCTAGCACCTCCACCACCTCCACCTCCTCAAGGCTCAGACTGGCCCATCCTCCTAGGATTCCAACCTCCCCTTTCACCTCCACCACTGTGGCCTCTCCACAGGTTGGCATGGGACTAGCACTTACCATATTCGAGGGTACCTCTGGTAGACAAAAGATCCTGTTTTCATTATAGACTTCCCCAACTGTCTTCAAGTACTGGTTCCCTTCCACAGACCATAGGGCCTCTGGACAGGAGGACACGCAAACCTAGGGGGTGGGTAGAGAACATGCTAAGGGGCTGGTACCCAGGGCCTTAGAGACAGGTGGGGTTCAGGCAGGTCCCGGCCTCTGACCTGGGGTGTGGGACATTGTAGGCCATTCTGGGCAACCGAGATGATGTTGGTGGCCACAGCACAGCTTAAGATATTGAAGTACAGGACATAGGGTTTATCCCTGTGGGAAAGGGAGGACATGTGAGCATCAGGGCCTGGGCAGGTGTCAGGGCTGTTCCCATCACACAGTGAGCCCCATTTGGCTCCTGGTGCGGCTTCTCAGGGAAGATAAAGAAGGCCCCAGTGGATGACCCAGGGAAATTCACGTTTCAACAGCTAACACAAGGCTGAGAGCATCATTCTGGGGCCCAGCTTCCCTCTGAGATGGCTTCATGACCTTGAACAAATCACATGAAGCAGAAGCTTCAGGTCTGTTGTATGAAATGACAGCATCTACTCAGGAGGCATACGAAACACCCTGCCCCCCTTCGGTACTGTAACCACTACAGGAATGTAGCAGGTTTGCCATTTACCCCCATCCTTTCTGGAATCTTCCTGGTGCTTCAGATGAGGAACTCAAAGCTCAGAGTAGATGAGTAATTTGCTTAAGGTCACACAACCAAAACTTATACCAGGGATCCAAACAACAATGTCTGAACTCTACATTCATACATTTAACCATGGTTCTGCCCTGAGTTCCAGTCAGAGGGTTAACTGGAGCTCCCTGTCCAATAGGGGAGGGCTTTCATTGTGGCCTGGAGTGGCTGGGTTCCGGGAGGTAGAAGGTGGGGCAAAAACAATAGGGAAAGGGTAGGGAAGAGCACCAGGCCCTGGCGCCTGCCTCAAAGGGGCACCCCACATTTCCTGCCCACTGCTGCCCCCCAATCCTGGTACTCACTTGTTATCCCCAATTCCGCAGTAGGCCCCCGTGGAGTTCCTGGGATAGATGACCTGCCGAGGGTCTCCATACACCCAGGCTGGAGACAGGGACAGACAGCTGGGTCACAGGAGGGTTGGGATGTGGTGGGAATAGCTCTGGGACCATCCCTCCCTGGGTTATTGCCCCTCACTCTCAGCCCCAGCTCTGGGCAGCTGTAAACTTACCCACAAGCCCCACCACGATGTAACCCAAAATGAAGAGCAGGAAGAGGACACAGCAGATGATGTCTGTGCAGCCCCTGGTGGAAGAGATGGAAGTCTGAGCTGAGGGGTGCGTGTGCTGGGTCGGGGTGGAGAGCCTTTGGGGAACGGGTATGGGGTATGGTAAGGAGGGGTCACAGGGTGGAGGGTTGAGGGATGCTAAACAGTAGGAACTGGCTTTTTTTTTTTTTTTTTTCTGGTCGTTGTGCTGGATAGACACACCTGGGTTGAGGGAGCCTCATTTGGGGAATTGCCTTCATCAGACTGGCCTGTGGCCATGTCCATGGGGCACCTTGATTGTTGAGTGATGTGGGAGGGCTCAGCCCACTGTGGGTGGTGCTACCCCTGGGCAGGTGGGCCTGTGTTGCATAAGAAAGCAGGCTGAGCAGGAGCCAGGGGAGCAAGTCAGTAAGCAGCGTTCCTCCATGGCCTGTGCTTCAGCTCCTGCCTCCAGGTTCCTGTCCTGAGTTCCTACCTTGGGCTCCTGGATGAACTGTGACCCAGGATATGTAAGCTAAATAAACCCTTTCCTCCTCAAGTTGATATTGGTCAGTGTTTTGTCACAGCAATGGAGAAAAAAACCAGAACAGTCTTTTTGAGACAGGGTCTTCCTGTAGCCTCAGCTGGCCTGGAGTTCGCTATGTAGACCAGGCTGGCCTTGAACTCACAGAGATCTGCCTGCCTCTGCCTCCCCAGTGCTGGAATTAAAGGTGTGTGCCACCATGCCTGGTTTAGGAATTGGCTTTTTTTTTGGTCTTTTTGAGACAGGGTCTCCCTGTAGCTCCAGCTGTCCTGGAACTCACTAAGTAGACCAGGCTGGCCTTGAACTCACAGAGATCTGCCTGCCTCTGCCTCCCAAGTGCTGGGATTAAAGGTGTGGGCCACCACACCCGGCATGGAATTGACATTTTTATTTATTTATTTTCGTCTATTTTAAGCAAACCTTTCCCTGGGTGGAGACATTTATTCTGAAGTATAACAGAAAAATACGACTCAGGGGCTTGGAGGGTGGAGCACTATCTAATATGCATGATGTCTAGGGTTAGTTGTCAGCAACATATACACACAGAACTCTTGAATGCTTAGCTGGGCAGGTTTCCCTCAAATGGATCCACCTGAGCAGCTAGCACTGGAGTCAGGAACTGGAACGTCCTCAACACTGGGAGCCCCCAGCTGCCCCTCCAAAGCTCCTTCAGTGAATGTAAACCAAGCCCCTCCCCCAACCCCCAGGCAGTACCCGTAACTCACCTGTTCTTGATGGGGCCCCGAAAGGAAGGGTCATATTTGGCTGCTTTCCCTGAAGGGGTAGATAGAAGTATGGTCAGCATATTCAGGCCAGTCAGCAGCCCAATGACTGCCAGCTGTGAACTCTCCCCAGGCAGCAGGCAGGGAGATGGGGTCTTTATTTTTGGTGGTACTAGGCATCAAACCTACAGCCTTCTACATGCTAATGTAAGCACTCTGCCGATAAGCTATAGCCACAGCCCCTTTACTTTCAGGTTTTGTTTGGGTTTTTTTGTTTTTGTTTTTGTTTGTTTGAGATAGGGTCTCCCAGTAGCCCCAACTGGCCTGGAACCCACTATGTAGACCAGGGCCTCCTTGAACTCACAAAGATCCATCTGCCCCTGCCTCCCGAGTGCTGGAATTAAAGGCATGGACCACCATGACCGGCCCCAGTGTTTGTTTGAGACAGGGTCTTACTATATAGACCAAGGTGGCCTTGAACTTAGAGAGATCTGCCTGACTCTGCCTCTCAAGTGCTGGGATTAAAGGCCAGTTTATTTTCTCTTTTTATTTTGAGACACGGTCTTGATGAGTTGCTCAAGCTGCCTTCCTCCTGTCTCAGCCTTCTCCTAAGTAGCTGGAATTACAGGCCTAACGGAAGTGGGGTTGTGAGAGTTTCTGGCTCCCACCTCAAGGCTATCTGCCTAGAATGTTCACCTGACCAGTTTCTCCTGAGGCTCTCTAGTTGGGATGTGGGACTCCCTCTCAGTATCTCTCAGGCCCCATCCTTATCCCCATCTTCCCTATAGCCCAGTTCCAGGTCCTCTCTGGACTGCCTTAGATGGAGCCCCTCAGGGGGCCATAATCCCTCAGTCACTGCAGCCCAGGTCCTATCACAGCCTCTGATCTAAGGCTGTGGGCAGAAAAAAGGACAGTCAAAGGTGTGAAGCCCTGCAAGGCCGGGAAGGAGCTCTGCTTGAAGGACTTGGGTCCTCAGGCCACCACAGAGGCGCTCTGGGTAGCCAGCCAGGTTGACACTTGAGCCAGCTGGCTGTTGGGATTTTGGCCACGTCCTGTTCCTGGTCCTCCTTGAATACACAGGGGGAGGGGGTGTGGCCAGGCAGCCAGGGTCCTTGTAGACACCAAGAAGGGAGGGCCAAGGGCAGGGGGGGTGGCATCTGTTCTCCCAGGTGCTCTGGACTCTGTTCTACCCTGACTCAGGAAGATGAGGTCAATAATTGACCTAAAGTTGCTCCAGGAAGTTTTGAGCGCTTTGGCCCCTTCCCTGTCTCCTAGAGGATTCCAGCCCTACCCGGAGAAGGCACCACCCTCAGGATTAGCTCCCTTGCAGAACCCAGAGAGCTCTGCAGGTGAGGAACAGCAGCCCTCACAGACAGCAGCTTCCTCTCTTCAGCCCTCCTGGGACACACTTCAGCCCTTTTTCTTCTGGAAGCAGGCTTGTTTCCTGTCCCCTCAGGCCATTTTTCACAGAGTGCCCTGCCCCTAGTCCTTAAAGTGCCCACAGATAGGTCCATCACTACCTCCTAACAGAGACCGCCCCCCAACGCAGACAACAGCCCTTTATCACAATCTTTAGCCCCCACTCCTCACAGGAACCCCAGCAGGAAGATCCCAATAAGTCAGAGTCCCAGCCCCAGGACTCTTCACAGGGACCTCTGCACTTCCGGTCCCAGCTCCCTACCCCTCACAGGGACCCTAGCAGCTTAGGGTCCTAGCCCCCCCACTTTTCACAGGGTCTGGGCTGGCAGACCCTCAGAGATCCAGAGTTTAGCCTGGAACAGCCCCTTCTCACAGACGCCCCACCTCACCCCTTGGAGACGCTTCAGCTCAGGACTCTCCTAGACCCTGAGTTCTAAGCAGCCTGCTCCATGACCCCAACCTTTCACATAACCACCCGCTTTGTTTGCCAGGGCTCTGCCCTCAAGGACCCAGAGCCCAGGCCTGAAACCCCGGACCGTCTACAAAGACGCCAGCCCAAACTCCTGCACATCTAGTCTCCAATTTCAGCCCAAACTCCTGCACATCTAGACTCCAATTTCAGTATGTGAGGGCCCCCAGCTATGGCCCTCAGGCCCTGGGCCCCATCCTCCCAGGAGCGGAGTCTATCCACAGGCTGCTGTTTCTCCAGCCCTCTCATCAGAGACCCAGGACTTTCATTCCTCTGCCTGGATCCAACCTCAGCCACCATGGTCTAAAGCACCGAGCCACCTCCCTCCCCAGAGCTCAGGCCTCTGCCCCCAGCCTCACCATAAGCCTCATTTTCATCCTGCTTTTTCCCCATGGTTCAGTCTCCGGAGTGATTGGAGCCAGGGAGACCTGGCCGCTCACCTGCTGCCCAGCCCGCCCTCCCACACGTCATAGCCCCCCCCCCGCCTATGGTCCCTGACACACTCTAGTTCCTCCTTCTGAACTCAACTCCATGGCCAGCAGCAGCCTGGGATACCTGGCCTAAAACTGGACTCAGGAGCAGCTGAGTGGGCCACAGACCACAGCTGGACTGGCACACTATGATAAGACACTTCATAATTTTGCAAAGCACATCAAATGCAGTACTTACCAAAATCTCTAGGTTGATTTGCCTTTATTTAAGCCCTTGACTAGACCCTGTGGCCTCTGGTCCCCTACAGCCTTTCCTTTCCCATCAGGTGGCAGCCTACAGCCCACAGTCCACCCCCTCTGCCTCAGACCCACAATCTCAACTCCGAGTGGCCTTCCTCCTCGCTGCCCCGAAACATTCACCAGACAGTTTATTACTAAATTCAACATTTATTGAGAACACAGAAAGCCAGTTGGCAGGGAGGCCTAACTTCAAGTCATCCCATTTTGACTGATGATGGGCTCAGTGGGGCAAGGGCAGCCCTGAAGTCACTCTCCTAGGGAGGAACCAGCCCTGGGAGAGGGGCCGTCTGACCTCCAGGCCTGGCTGGGGTCTCTGGTGGAGGAATGTGTGAGGGGCAGTGGGCAGCGTCCCAGGCCTGGGTGGCAGACGGTGCGACAGATGGCTGCTGAGGAGCGACCAGGTGGGCAGGGCAGGGCAGTGGTCTGTCCTCAAGTGTTGATAGGGGGCAGGGAGCCGAGCTCAGGTAGCAGCTCAGGGTGGGGGTCCAGGCGGGCCAGGCGACTCTGCTCCAGGGCAATGGCCTCTGCTGAGTGCTTGCACTTTTCAGAGCCGCACTGGCAGGTGAAATACTTGCTCTTGATATCCCAGAAACGGTCACCATAGTCAAAGCTGTCAGAGGAACATAGGACCTTGTGGTACCTGGACCCAAACACCCAGAGCTCCCCTCCAAGACCCCTGGAAGTCGTTTTCAGCCTCCAGGAAGGACCCGGCCTCACTCCACCTCTCCCTTGCAGATTCTGTGGGTTTGCAGCTTTAGAATCACCCAGAACTGTCAAGAAATGCAGGCCTCCAGCCTCCCAGCTCCATCAATCACAATCTCCCAAGGCTCAGTTGTGCGTGCGTGCGTACGAGCATGTTGCTAGGGACTGGCCCAGGGTCTTCCACAGAGTTGGCAAGTACATGACTGCTGAACAAGTTCTTTAGTATTTCTTTAAGCTGGCTGAATCCCAGTACTTGGGAGGCAGAGGCAGGTTATCTCTGAGATCACGGCCAGCATGGTCTACTTAGCCAGCTTCAGGCTAGCTGAGGCTACAGGGAGACCCTGTCTCAAAAACAAGCTTTTGTTTTGGTTTTTTTTTTGAGGTCAGGATCATTATCTTGCTAAATTACCCAGGCTGGCCTTGAATTTGTGTCTGCCTCAGCCTCCGAAGAGCTTAAATTATAGGTATAGCCATCAGGCCAGGCTGGAATCAGGCTGTTCCTTGAACTCACAGAGATCCACCTGCCTCTGCCTCCCGAGTGCTAGTGCTGGGATTAAAGACGTGTGCCACCACACCCAGCCTTTTTGGTTTTGTTGAGGGTCTCACTCTGTAGTCTAAGTTCTTGGTGATTCTCCTGCCTCAGCCTCCAGAGTGCTGTGATTACAGGTGTGTGGCACCATGCCTGCCTTCACTGTTTTAACAAGCCCTCCAAGTGGCACGTGCACACCAAAGGCTACCCTCCGATCCCCGCCTGGATACCAGGCGCCCTCAGCCTCCAGGCCCCAGGCTGGCGGATCTCCCTCTGTGCAGAGCTGTGCCTCACCCCAGCTCCTCCCCAGTACGGATGTCCCGGGAACTGAAGAAGGCGATCCGTGGAAACCGTAGGTCTTGGTGCAGCATGAAGACCCGGACCGGGATGATGTTGGGGTCACACAGGTGGTTGATGAAGCGGCTAATGTTGCCATAGTAACGGGCATCGATGCAGTACACCTCTCCATCCTGGGGAGGGACAGCACTCTTGATAGCCACCCCCGCAACCCGCTTTCCCTTCAGTGACACACGGTCCCTCCATCCAAGTGTCACTTGCCCACCTTGTTGTCTAAGTCGAAGAGATAAGAATCATCCTCTCTCACATCAGCTTCTGCATCAGAGATCAGCTCCCCAACATACCTGTGGGACAGAAACTCTGTTCTGAAGGTGAACAGGGCTTGGAGCCCCATCTCACAACCCTGGTAATCCTCTTCCAGTCCTTGGCTGCCCACCACAGCAAGCCACCAGGTCAACACTGCAGCAGTGGGCCTAGGGAAAGCAGGTACCACCTGGGGTGGTGGCAGGAGGGATGCAGGGCACAGTCCAACCACTGGGGGTCACCCCTGCACCGCTGGGGCAGCAGGCAGGCCTGCAGGTGCTGGGGGTGTGCTGTGAAGACCTGCAGGAAAAGTGCTGGCAGAGGATGTGGAGCTGTGGTGAGGGTTGGTATCCAGGGTGACTGGCTCCAAGGCTGCAAGGCCTGGACACTGGGGGGTGAGTGCACTAGGAAATTTCCCAGGGAGAAGGGGAAGGGGAGAAGAGTAAGGAGACGTGGGGAGGGGGGGTTCAGATGACTGAGAAGCAGTGAGGAGAGAGGAGGCCAAGGGCAGACGACGGGGGAGCTACGTGTCTGAGGAACTTGGAATGGGAAGGACGAAGATGAGGTGGTCCCTTCAACAGGCAAAGAGGGTCTGGGCTCTCAAGGCCACTGGACACCTTGGTAAGTCCGATGAGCAGTGGACAGAAGGGCGACTGTTGCCATCGTCACATTACAGATAAGAAAAACAAGGCTCAGAGAGGCTCAGTAACTTGGACAAGGACACTCAGCAACAGCCTGGCTCAAACCCACGTCTGTCTACCTCTTGACATCTGCCACAGCAAGGAGGTGTACGGAGAAAGTGTGAGGCCTGGAAACACACTTGGGTGGGTGGGAATCCAGGGCAATTGTGACGGGTGGTTCTGGGGTGCAGGTAGAGTGGGACAGGCTCCATCTGGGTTGCTGGGTGGGCACCAGGGTTCCCGGCGTGAACTTACTCGCAGATGAATGTACCCTGGGGGATGGTCTGCAGGGCACGGACCCCCCAGCCCATTTTGGCTGTTCGGTAGAGTTGTAGCCGTACCCTAGAGGCAGAGAGATGGTGATACTGAGTGTGGGGACCTGGGAATAGCCCCAGGGGAGGGAGGTGGAGGCGATGCAGGGTGCCGGGGCGGGCGCCTCACTTGATGCCGCTCTGTACCACGCGGTTCTTGCAGTTTCTCCAGCAGGAGCATGCCTGGTTACACTCAAAGATCAGAGGGGGTTCGATCTTGTTAAACTCCTGGAGCAGCCGCCCGTCCTGGGGTGCGGAGGGAGGGGGGGGGACAGTGGTTTCTGTGTGGGGCCCTCCTCAGCTGCCCGGGACCCAGAGGACTCCACAGGACACTCCGTTCTGACCCCAACCCAGAGCAGGGGAGGAGGGGTTCGAGGAGGCTGCAGGCTGAGGTCAGAGACCAGGAAGCACGCAGGCCAGGAGGCAGAGTCCATTTGCATACACCTGCACGGAGGCCACGGCAGTCCTGACCAGGCTCCCAGGACTTCCTGTCTCGCCACACCCTGTCTCTTCCCCAAAAGGACAAGTGAAGAGCAAGGTCCCAGCTCCTCTGCAGGAGTGGCCGGACATCTTCGGCCAGACGAGGACACGCACCTTGTCATACCAGCAGCGGATGCTGAGCTGGCCGCACAGGCAGTTAGAGCTGGAGCAGTCGTCCACACATGTGCAGTGCTGAGGTGGGAGGGAGAGGGTCAGTGTAAGCTGGAATCGCCCTGCCCTTAGTTCCCACGGCTCCCATTCATGGTCCATGTGTTAGGACAGTGCCTGTGATGGTCCCAGGGTGAGGGGCAATCCAGATGTGGCTGATTGGGGGAGGGGGTCCCCATGGTGACCATGATACTCTTGTGTGACCCAGCAGGGAGCCAGCCTCACACCAGGCTCCTCCTGAGGAGGGGGCAGGCCTCCTACTTACCTGCAGATGGGTGATGTTCCGGTCAATGTTCATGGTGGAAGTCTCACAGTTCTCAGAGATGTACTTGTAGTCTTCGGGGCACGGCTCACCATCCACACCATTGACACAGGGGATGGGGATATTCTCATAGCCTCGGGCCACATCCCTGCAAGAAAGGGAGGATGAAGCCAAGGTTTGAGGGGCTGCCTGGGAGCTAGGGACAGCTCTGAGGGATGGGGAAGTGCTGGGGTTCCTCAGGGTACAGGGAGCAAGGCGTCAGATAAAACTAGGGAACGGAGTTGGGTGTGGTGGCACACACCTTTAATCCCAGTACTCAGGAGGCAGAGGCAGGTGGATCTATGTTGTATTCAAGGCTAGCCTGGTCTACACAGACAGTTCTAGGCCAGCGAGGGCTACATAGTGAGACAATGTCTCAAAAAAACAACAAAACCAAATCAGGTATCACATGAGGTATTTTTTCTTCTTTGTGGTAGTAGGGATTGAACCCAGAGCACTGTGTGTGCATGTTAGGTAAGTGCTCCACCACTGACCTATGTCCCAAGCTCCCAACTTCTCATTTGTTCTCTGTAAGACATGGTGTCACGTAGCTCTGGCTGACCTCATTTTTGCTATGTAGCTAAGGATGACCTCAAACTCTTGACGTGCCCACCTCCACCTCCCAAGTGCTGGTATTATAGGCATGTGTCACCACGTGGGACTCTGGCCCTTTTAAAATTATAGTTGGACAGGGTCTTGCTACATTACCCAAGCTAGCCTCAAATTTCCTATGTAGCCTAAGGCAGGCCTTGACTTGTATCTTCCTGCCTCAGCCTCCTGAGTTGCTGCATTTATAATCAGGTATTACCACACTCATGGTCTCATTATGTAGCATTGGCTGGTCTGGAACTCACTATGTATTCAGGCTGCCTCAAAATCACAGAGATCTACCTGCTTCTGCCTCCTGAGTGCTAGGATTAAAGGTGTGAATCACCAGGCCCTGCTTGAAATTTTTAAAAATTTGATTCACTGATTTTTTTTTTTTTGGTCTTTTTGAGACAGGGTCTCCCTGTAGCCCCAGCTGTCCTGGAACTCACTATGTAGACCAGGCTAGCCTTGAACTCAGAGATCCACCTGCCTCTGCCTCCCAAGTGATGGGATTAAATGCCTGACGAAGCCAGAAGGTGTCAGAGTTTAATTGTAGTTCTCAAGATCTGCCTGCCTCTGCCTCCTGAGTGCTGGAATTAATGTGCCACCGTGCCTGGCCTAAGTCTGACTTTGTGTGGATGGCTCTCCAAGTCACAGGCTCAAGAGAGTGTCCTGCCTCAGCCTTCAGAAAAGGAGAGACACCCAGCTTCCATCTGAAACTCTAATCTCTCCAGTGTCTATTCTGTTTTGAGACAGACTGGCCTTAAACTCACAATGCTGCCTCAGCCTCCTGAGGACTGACTGGGATTACACATCCTCTATTATTTTTTTTGGCCTTTTTGAGACAGGGTCTCCCTATAGCACCAGCTGTCCTGGAACTCACTATGTAGACTAGGCTGGCCTTGAACTCACAGAGACCCACCTGCCTCTGCCTCCTGAGATCCTCTATTTTTTTTTTTTTTTTGGTCTTTTTGAGACAGTGTCTCTCTGTAGCTCCAGCTGTCCTGGAACTCACTATGTAGACCAGGACGGCCTTGAACTCAGAGAGATCCACCTGCCTCTGCCTCCTGAGTGCTGGGATTAAAGGCATGCGCCACCACGCCCGGCGAGATCCTCTATTTTTTAACTAAAAGAAAAATTTTTTTTTATTGTGTGTATGCCAAGGTGCACACATGTGGAAGTCAGAGGACAACTTGCAGGAGTCAGATCACTCCTTTACCATATGGGTCCTGCGGATCAAAGTCAGGTTGTTAGGCTTGCCCCAAGCAACTTAACCACTGGGCCACCTCACCGGCTGAGTCCTGTTTTCATTTGTTCTTTCTGTCAGCCCCAGCAGTTCTTAGGACTCCTAGGGCCGAGGTATAATCCTGGGACTATTCTAAGGGTGCAGGAGGCCAGTGAGGTCGGAGGCAGTGGGGGTCCCACTCACCGGCAGATGATCTTTTCGGTGCGAATGGCTCGGTTCCCTACCCCAAGCCGGAGTTTGCGGTTAAGCTGCAGTGCAAACCACACATCAGAGCGCTCTGGGGTCAGGTCCCATGCCGTGTCCCCCTCCTTGTTCCGCAGCTCAGGGTTGGCTCCCCGTGACAGGAACAACCTGGGGAGAGGACAGAGAACCTGGTGTCAGGGACTGTGGGAAGAGGGGTGTGGGTACCAGGAGTCAGGGCGGTGCTCACAGAACGCAGTCGTGGTAGCTCTCCCTGGCAGCGATGTGCAGCGGCGTGTCTCCGTGGTAGTTGACAGCATGAAGGTCACAGCGGGCATTCAGGAGGACCTCGGCAATGGCAGCACTGCCTGTGAAGGAGGCCCAGTGCAGGCAGATGTTCTCTTCCTGTGGAGGTGAGAGGCAGAGATGGGGTGCGGGCACCTGGATCCTTGAACCCTGTCTGTGCAGGGACCTGCAGTAGTCCCCCCTGCTTCCCAACCCTGGCCAGTGTCCCTCACATTATCAGTAAGGGTGACGTCGGCACCCCGGGTCAGCAGCATGCGGATCACATCAATGTGCTTATGCTCAGCTGCCCAGATGATGGGCGTCCAGCCTCCGCTGTCCTGTGGGAAGGAAGGTGGGAGAGAGTGAGGACCCAGCCCTGCAGAGTACGTGTGCTCAGGAGCATCCACTCCAGGGACATCCAGAGCCAGAGAATGGCATTAAACTGAACCACAGCACCCCTAGGTCACAGGAACCCCAACGGACATTCTGAGAGATTATGGTAGGAACTCAGAATTCTGCAAACTGATAAAAGCCAGAGAAAGAAGAGAGGGCCATCACAAAGAGGAGGGGGAAGGGACAGACACAAACATTGGGAGGCATGGCATGAGAAGGTCAGAGGTCAGATGGAGGAGGAAGGGGGGACGGGAGGAGGGCAGCCAGGTTGCTGACCTGGGCATTGACGTCCACCTGGCCAGTGCTCAGCAACAGGTTGACCATCTCCAAGTTCCCGATTTTGGCTGCGTGGTGGAGGCAGGTGGAGCCATCCTCTTCCTGAGAGAGACATGAGCCAGTGAGATGGCACCTTTTACCTGGTCCTACCTCTGCTGTCCTTCCCTGCTGCCTGCGGGGCTCCTGTACCTTGCTGTAGACGCAGCCACCTAGCTGCACCATATAGCGGGCCACCTCCAGGTGGTTGTTCACCACGGCCTCCATCAGCGGCGTGCGCTGCTGCTTATCCACGGCGTTGATGTTGGCTCCTGCCTGTGAGGAGCGGTATGAGGGGTTGGCAACAGGGAGAGGCTTCTGGGGAGAGGCCAGGGGGCTACACAGCGAGGAACAGGGTGAGGCAGGGCTGGCCGCACTGACCTGCAGCAGCACGTGGCAGATCTCTACTGAACCCTTCTGCGCAGCTGCGTGCAGGGGCGTACGCTTGCTCTGCTGGTCACTCTGAAAGTTGGGGTCCAGGTTGTCCACTGCAGGGAGAGAAAGAGATAGGAGATAAGAGAGCTAGGGATAGAGGGCTTCTCCTCCAGAGAGGTGTCTCAGGGCCCGCTAGAGCGAGGGGCGGAGCATGCAGTCCCATAGGCTGGCCCCTCAGGACCCCCAGGCACTGGATGAGGTACTGGACCCCCACAGAGGTTACAGATAGGACCACTTGGAATGGTACCCAGCACCTCCTGTGTGCCTCACTAGTCCCACCACTGGGGGGGGGGTGTCACATGACCTTCCCCACCCAACACTGCGCCCTAGTGGTGGCTGAGGAGTCAGCAACACTCACACAGCATGAGGATCACTTTCTGCAGCTCTCCTTGTTTCACTGACAGGTACAGCTGCCTTGGGTGGAAGCGAAGCTTCTTCCTCCTGCAGGGGCCGGAGGAGAGAAGGTGGGCTGCTCAGGTTTGAACGCCAGGGTGGGAAGTGACACCTACTTCTCTAGCCCAGCCCTGACTGCCATCCAGAGTAGCATGTACTCACCTCTCTGATTCCTGGATGACCAAGGCCTTCTCCAAGGCTTCCCGGCCTGGCCCCGGGGGCAGCCCCACGGCAGAAAGACAGCCCCCGTTGGGTAAGGTCAACGAAGGCCCAGAGCTGTCGATGGTATCAGCCAGGGGGTCACAAGGCGGGCGCCGGGGCTCCCCGTGCCCTCGCATCCGGGCGCTGTGGGAGAAAGTTCTGAGGTCTGGGGGCAGTGGAGATGGAGCGGGAAAAGTGTGTAGGGAAGGAAGAGGCCAATACCTGGGCTGGGAGGTGTCTGCTCTTCCCGGGGCATCCTGTGCCAGGGGTGGAGGGGCAGGGGCTGTGGCGCCAGCTGGGGGAGGACCCCCGTCGCCCCGGGGAATGGTCACTTCCTGGGCCTCCGAAGCATCCTCTCCACAGTGGGGACAGAAGACCATCCCATTGAGCTGGGACACACAGGCTTTATGGAAGCGATGGGCCACACGGAAGTCGGGGTGACATTCTAGGAAGGTGCCCTGGGGTAGAGAGAGGAGGTGGTCAGGCTCTGAGCCCTTCCCTGCAGGCTATGACATCAATCCACCCTGATGGTCACTCACCGCTGTGCAGAAGTAGCCACAGCCCGGGCAGCAATGGTGCTTGACCATGCGGGCGCGGTGGGCCTCGCAGAGGACCATCAGTGCCACTCGGCTTGAGGGCCTCATGGTTTCCCGCTTTAGGATGGCAGCACTGCAGCCTGATAGCTGAGGGAAAGGAAGGTGGGGGACCTCAGGGAAGGCTGGGTCCAGGCCTGCTCCCAGTGCCTCCCTAGCCAGGGTAAGGCTGGGTCCAGGCCGGCTCCCAACGCCTCCCTAGCCAGGCCCACCTCTCCATCCACGCTCTCTGTGGCCATACACTTGTGCCCTGCCCTCTCGCTGATGCGGTCGATCTTGGGTGCTTCCATGCGGCAGCTGCAGAGGGGCAACTCCTCAAACCCGCGCTCTGTCTCCAGTGAAGATGTATCATTGGATACTCCTTGGATAGGAAGAAAGGGGAACTGATGAAGGCCCTGCCCCTCACCCACTGGAAGGGTCCCTGAATTCCCACCCGGATGCCCCCCTCTACAGTCTAGAAGCCCCAAAGCCTGGCATGGATACCCGGGCTCTCGCAGGGTTCCCCTCCACCCCATTCCCTCTGGCCCTGTGGGCGCCCCCTGGTGGCTCCCTGCCCCAGCAGCAGTTGGCAATTAATTACCAGCGTGGTTGGGAGAGAGGGTCCCCTCGCTGGGCAGCTCCAGGGACCCCAGAGGGACCTCCATGTACTCACTGGGCCCTGAGGAGCCCACACCATTCACTCCTGACACAGAGACAGAGAGAGTGAGAGTGCGAGCTCACAGGGCCTGGGCGCGTGGGCACATGCGGTACACGGTGTACATGCACAAACACATGCATGTGTGCATGCTCTCTGGGGCCGGGAGGGGCTAGAGGAGGGGACCCACAGGCAGAGGAGCCCGCTCACCTCGAGGTTCCTTAGCCCGAGGCGGCTCTCGTTTCCGCCGTTTCCGAGATGGCTTCACCCACGGGCTGTCCTTCCGCCATTTCTTCTTGGCTTTGCGTCGACCACTAGAGCCACTCTGTGGAGGAGGAAGACTCAGAGGCCCTGGTCCCCAAGCCTGGCTCTCCACAGCTCCCCACTCGTCCAGAACAGCTAGGCTCCCTTACTCTATCTGACTGATTGCCTGATTCCTCGTCCTCTTCCTCCTCCTCTTCTTCTTCCTCCTCCTCCTCTTCTTCCTCCTCTTCTTCCTCCTCCTCCTCTTCCTCCTCCTCACTCAGTTGTTCAGTGAGAGCTTCAACTTCAGACTGAGAGAGAGAGAGAGAGAGGGAAATGAAGCAGAGAGAACGGCAAGTCATAGCTCTTCACTGAGCAGAATTTGGTCAAGGGAGAAGGGTACATTTAATCCCCAGAGCTGAGATCATCACCACTGCCACCACCAGGGAAGGCTCACAGGAGGCTGGAAAGGGCTGGAGAGGTGGAGACGTAGGGACTGGAGAGATGGGTGCATGGTTAGAGCACTGGCTGCTCTGCACTCACATGGCAGTTAACAACTGCCTGTCAGTTTTTTTTTGGGGGGTGTCCAGCACCCTCTTCTGGCCTCCGTGGGCACCGCATGCACATAGTGCACCCACACATACCCAGGCAGAACATACCCCAGGGATGACGGCATAGAATACCAAGTGCTACAGTTACAACACTGAGGATCTCAACATTCCATTAAGAAAGCAAACTCCAGCAGCCAAAAGCAGAGTGCGGTTTTGTTTTTATGAAGTTCACAGACAAGGTGACCAATGAAGGCCAAAACCACCAAGCAAAAAGCTAATGGAGCTCTATAATGAAGGGGTCAGGCTGTCAGTACCTGAACTCACAGGGTCATTGTCAACAGTGGAAGGAGGGGGGTTTGGCGATGGGAGGGAGGGAGAGGAGGAGGGGTCAGAGATGGGGGAGAGGAGGAGGAGGGGTCAGAGATGGGAGGGAGAGGAGGAGGAGGGGTCAGAGATAGGGGAAGAGGAGGAGGAGAGGTCAGAGATGGGGGAGAGGAGGAGGAAGGAGGGGTCAGAGATGGGGGAGAGAAGGAGGAGGGGTCAGAGATGGGGGAGAGGAGGAGGGGGTTGAAGACAGTGGGTAGAGGAAGAGGAAGATGAGGTAGGGGAAGAGGAGGTGGGGGTTGGAGGTAGGGGAAAAGGTGGAGAAGGGGGTAGGTAGTAGGGAGTAGAGAAGGAAGAGGGAGTTCTAGGCCAGCCTGGTCTACATAGTGTGTTCCAGGTTGGCCAGGACTGCATAGCGAGACTCCCATCTCAAAAAAAACCAAACAAGCCGGCATGGTGGCGCACGCCTTTAGTCCCAGCACTTGAGAGGCAGAGGCAGGCAGATCTCTGTGAGTTCAAGGCCAGCCTGGTCTACATAGTGAGTTCTAGGACAGCTGGGGCTACAGGGAAACCCTTTCCCAAAAAAACCAAAAAAAAAAAAAAGAACCAAACAAACCCCCCACACCCTCCCATCAAAAACCCCCAATATTAAAAAAATAATCCCAAGAATCACAGGTAAATGTCACAACTTCTTTTTTTTAACCTGTGAAAATGGTATGGCAATCATGGTAGGAAAACAGTGCCTGATGTGGGAGGTGCAGTGGCACTCTCTTTAGTCCCAGCATTAGGGAGGCAGAGGCAGTTGGGCCTCTGGAAGGCCAGCCTGGTCTACACAGTGAGTTCCACAGCAGTCAGGGTGCACAGGGAGGCCGTATTCCAAAACAAAACTAAAACAAGCAATTTGGGGGGGACTTTTTTTTTTTGAGACAGGGTCTCCCTGCAGCCCCAGCTGTCCTGGAATTCACTATGTAGACCAGGCTGGCCTTCAACTCAGAGATCCACCTGCCTCTGCCTCCAGAGTGCTGGGATTAAAGGCGTGTGCTACCACGCCCAGCTAAACCAGTAAGTTTTTTAAAGCAGAGTGGGCACAGTGGTACTCGCCTTTAATCCCAGCACTCAGGAGGCAGATGTAGATGGACCTCTGGTCTAGTGAGTTCCAGGCCAGCTTTTTCAAGAGCCTGGGTCTGGCAGTGCAGCCTATGATCCCAGCTACTGGGGGCTGAGACAGGAGGATTACAAGGAGTGAGTGTAAAGCCAGTCCTGGACAACCCAGTGAAGGATCCAGTCTTGAAATAAATTTTGAAGCTGGGAGTGGCGATTCACACTTTTAATTCCAGCACTTGGGTCCAAGGCCAGCCTGGTCTACATAACAAGTTCCAGGCCAGCTGGGGCTACAAGGAGAAAAAAAAAAAAAAAAAAAAAAAAAAAAAAAAAAAAGAAAAAGAAAAGAGGTCTGAGATATAGTTCAGTGGAGAGTGCAAGGCCCTAAGCATTAACCTCAAATTCCTCGGAAACAGGAGACACTTTGCAGTGTCAAACAGGGTTTGCTGCAGGAGAG